AATATCGCACAGTTTGACTATGGGTTGCACCAAGCGTCTTTTGCCAGGAAGCTATTCTCTATGGAAGCAACACCTTGGAAACCTTCGAAATATATGTAGTATGTAGAACGAATAATGTATGTAGTAATCTTGAAAACAATACATACGAGTCTTCTAGGAAATGAACACCTGAAAATATTGTGTTATAATTTCAATACGAAAAATGTATGGATCATGCACCATGTTGGCGTCCTCCAGAAATCAATATTTAAATAATTCTAGTAATGCGAAAGCTTACCGTTTAGAACAAATATCATCGCACTGTTAGGCACACAACAAGGTCTAAAACTCATGTTTTAATAAATTATTGGTCGCAAAAAACTTGTGCAAGAAACGACGCCTTTCTCTGATACCGAAAATGACGCCTCGCGAAAAATGCAAATCAGCATCTTTAAAATCAGCATCCACGCTGTAAACGTCGCCATGGCGCCCCCTCGGGGATGTTCCGTTCATTTATGAGTAAGTTGCCTCGTAAGCAGGGCCTAGGTGGCCCTAACGACAATCAAAATCTTGGTCTGACCTTGACTATTTGTGTGAGGCCCTCATGTGTCAGTCCATAGAACAAGGCTTATGTGTCAGTTGTCGTATTGTCACTTCTTCTCTCACTATTCTTTAGTAGATACTGACCGAAGGCAGCAACTTCTGCTTCTATATGCACATCACTACGTTTTTATTTAAAAAAAACCGCCGTTGTCGGACGACACTGTTTAAAAATTACGGATGGTTCAGAATTTTTTTTCGAAAAATAAACATTAACATCCACAGTGGCTAATGTGAAAGATCGAAATATATTTCTAAGACACCTCATCATCGTAGCTGCCAATGTTCAGCAACTGAAAAATATGTTACAGACTTATCAGATCTTAACCTCTGTGATATGTATCGAAAGACTAATCAATTTTGGAGTGTCCACAAAACTGTGTTTTCTAAACTAGAAAACTCTAGTGTTTTGTATATATTGGTATAAATAGGTCACAGATTACCAAACTCCCTTGTTGAGAGATCACACAAGATCACTTGTCTTCATCTATCGTACAGATATGTCGTTCAGCTCGGTAAACATATCCGTGGAGGCTCCAATTGAGAACCAAATACAAGAAATATCCTACGATGGAATCGAAATATATCAACCGTACGTCGTGCTGGAGCTTTCCAATGGATCCTTAATCAACTTTGAATTGCAGCCCCTTGACTCTGTCGGAAAGCCTGGCAAAGTATGCCCAGAAGATCGACTTCAGCAAAACTACAGATGTAGACATCAAGAAGGAGGAGGCCGTTGAAGAGGCGAAGTCCGACAGCGATAGCAAAGATGCATTTCAGTCGTCGTTGTGGCCCTGGGACTCCGTTCGCAATAAGCTGAGGAACGCGCATCAGGAAATCTGTGTTCTAGCCGACGTGCTCACAGTTGCAAAAGACAAAAGGTACATGGTGTTGGATCCGGTGCAAAGGGAGCCGCTGGAAACCAAGCCCATGGTACAGATTTACGCTAGGAAGAAAGCACTGGCAGGTAGAGGGTTGAATAATTCCTGGGAATTTTCATTTTACATCTCTCTTAAAGGGGCAGCTAACGTGTTGTTAGCTGGGGCAGAGAAGCTGAAAACATCGCAGAACGAAGTGGCCAGAAACCGCACTACCCCAGACTTTCACATCGAGCTCCTAAGGCTGAGACAGAACTGGCGATTAAAGAAGGTCTCCAACATGATTATTGGGGACTTGAGCTATAGGACCGCAGGCTCCAAGTTCATGCAAACCGGTACTTTTGAGGTAAACTCACAGGTTTTGAAGTAAGTAACCAGTGGCAGAAAAATTGTTGCTTGCAAACCCCAGGTTACCAAGGCTGAGGAGGATGAGAAAATCGGAAGTCCCCCAAGCAGCCCTTTGCCGGGAGGGGGCCAACCGACGAAACCCAGCAGTGCGCTTAAGGTGACGATCCCTTCAGAGCTGCAAGGGGTGGCCTACATTGAAGTTCTTTGCCAAAAAGGTACCTTTTAAAGCTCTGGTTTAGGTCTCGTGCGCTTACTGCTCGCGATTGATGTTCCAGATACCGAGGATTTGTGCTCCGCTAATATAAATCTGTTGGGATCGGGCGCACCATCTTCAAACCCAGACATGCACTGGCAGCAGAAGCTAGAGGCTGCTCAAAATGTGCTATTCTGCAAAGAGTTATTCAACCAGCTTGCCAAGGAGGCGGTTCAGCTGCAGGCACCCATTCCTCATATGGTGGTGGGCAACCAAATTGTTGCCACGATTTTGCCGGGAATCCAGATTATTATCGCACTGAGACATTCCACATCAGGCGACAAGGTATGAGAAAGTGATTGTGGAGAATGTCCAGAGTGTGAGTGTGAATGTTTAATGCCAGAAGCCAGAAAAGCCAACTCCGTCCAAAGGTGAACACGACCATGTATTGGAACATTCCCTGCACCAGCTGTTGCGCGAGGTGCACCACAAAAACACCCACCATCCGTTTCCCCATCCAGCTACCGGACCGCTGGGTCCATCAAAGAAGAGAATGATGGCAGGTGCTAGTTGGAGCTGCTTTGTTTTTAGTACCGAATTATATTGATGATGTCTAGGTCCAATGGCTGCAGACCGATACGAACTGCTGGATATGACCAAGCAAGAGACCTTACTGGAGCAGATCATCAAACAGTCTCAGCACTGTCTGATGAGGATGAGGACTGGCTACGTATTGGATACGCTTGCTAAAGAGTGCAGAGATCCGTTGATTTCGTCACATTGGAACACACTGAACAGCCCCACGCAGAGCTGTGTAAAGATCAACATTTCCACGCACGGTTACGATGCCGTATGCAGAACACCATTGGTGATCCACGTGGGTGAAAAGAGCCTAAAGTGCATTTGTAGGTGAGTGTTTGCAACTGGCGGGAGGGGAAAAGTCGCTATTTCTATTTCGTGGGCAGGGATGGTAAAGTGATGAACCTCAGCTACGAACCGCAGGAGTTTCGCGACTTGATTTTCAACCACATCACTCAACATCAGATCTTAGCTGTGCAGGCATTGGCCAAGACCATGGGCTGGCAGTCGTTGGCCAACTCAAATCATTTGGGTGAGTTCAATTATTTTCCTGCAGACTCCCAGAGTGCCACCGAATTGTTACAGGGAGCGGACCGGTAGATCCATTGGGGAATGCCACTTCTTGTCTTTTGGCTTCACCAACAGGAGACAGAATCATTGCGGTCCGCTGTGAAGCACAGTACGGCGGCATGCAAGTATCTGTCGCCCATTCGCCTAGAAGCGATTTTTTTCCCAGCCGATTGGTCACTGAGCGAAAGTGGGAACACTTGGGGGGCCAATTCAGGGACGTGCGGCTGGATAGAATGGAAGGCAGAAACTTTTTACATAAAATGGAACTTCTGATGGCTAGTCTCACGAGCAACTCGTAAGCGATTGAGTCAGCTGTTCCAGCTCTGAGAATTTACATTTTGATTGTAAGCAAATATACAATGGAAATAGAGTTTTTGTGTTTTGCGAATGAAGTTATCCAGTCCACGTTACGTTTACCCACAATTTTTATTCGAATGAATCAAAAACCGCAATTTTTCGATCAGAAGCGATGATAAAAAGCCAGTTTTCTGCTGATCATTTGTTTTACTTTTACGCACATGTGCGCAAAAGTAAACGTTACAAATTGAACCTGTCACTGTCATAAGATTTTTTAAAGTATTTACATTAAAAAGTAACCGACAGGCTTTTTTAATGAATTACGTAGGTTTATTTACTCACAATTTGTAAAATATAACTTCGTTTCACGTTCAATGTCAAAGTCGTTCAAATGGTCTATTTTTCCGCGCTCGCCGATGTTGCCGCCACACGCAAAGCATGATCTTTTTAAATAGCCCAAAATATGCAACTTATACAAACACCATACCGTGAAAGCAGCACTTAAAGTTTCAACACTCATTGTTTTACTTGTATGCTTACAAAAGAACGCTTTTGAAAAATTACAAACGTCAAAACGTGACAATTTCAAAAATGGCATTGACATCAAATTTTAAATATGAAGTTGACGTCTTTTATTATTGGCTATTTTTATTTATTATAACTTTGATATGATTTGTGTTATGTCCTTCATTCGAATAAAAAATATTCGATACGGAAATCCGTTTTTCGCCCTTGTATCGAAAACTACTACTTTTTACTTCAACCCTTAAAAATGTGTTCGCCTTTTTGCACTATTTTTCCTTCGCCATTTTGTCCAGGCATTCAAGTCTAGCTCCTCTTATTAAAAAGTTGAAAACCGTTTTTCGGCTAATTTGATCGGTACACCCACAATAGGAATATATATAATGATTGTGTTTTTATTAGCTTTAACTTGTTTCTCTTCTTTAATACCTATGGCTGAACACAACAACTCAGTTCGTTAGCATCCCTCCACTCCATATCTTCCTCACCAATTTACAATAACTAAAAATTGCCTAATTTTTGCAAGCGTAATATTGAAATGATCACGTTTTTATATAAAATTAGACAAAATATGGCAACTTTGAACTCTACCAACTGTCTTCGTATCAGTCACAGGTATCAGTGTAGGGGAATGCTTAACCTCAAAATTTGTTTACAAACTTAATAATTATTTAAATGAGTATGCGTTTGTGACGATGCCCTATGATATATACCCTTGAAAGATTAACCAAGCGGTGCTGATTGTATCAAGTCTGATATGAAACGCACGTTAAAGTAATCAATCGGCAAGCCACAGCGCAGAAAAAGGAGAAAAAAGTACCAAATAAATTGAAGTGTGTGAGCTTAAAGTGATTTCCATCACTAAACGTGCACTAACAACCCTTTCAAGGACCTAAACCGCGAGATAGTGAAATCATAAAGGCGCAATGGCCAACGGCGAACTGCGACGACGAAAGGTAAGTTCAGTTTTCATGTGGAACAGTGCTTGCAACACCAATTTTGGGTCATAATGCAAGGTCATTACAACATAATGCAATTTCATGTATATTCGCTATTTTCTAATATTGCGGTTAAGCAGCGCATGTTGCTAAGCTCAGTCCGGCCCCCGTGCTGTGCTGGTAATGAATTATGACTTTCCGGCTTGTCGAGGCAAAGTTTGAGCGGCCACAATCAGCCCCATTTAACTAAAAACCCATGTTTGCAGGTTAAAGAGCAGAGTGAAAAGCGGCCGACCAAGAGTAGAACCCGGAAGCCCAGGGGAATCAGCCCCAGTTCAGTGCAGACCTCACTCATCTGCCTATTTGTCAGTGGCACTATCCTGACTACATTCATAGGTAAATGGATCATTGTTGCATCCTTCGCAGTTTACTGCAAACCTTTTGGTTCGGATTCTAGTCCTCTACACAGACGACATACCATGGTACATAGGAAACAGGGTGGTAGACGACTTGGCAAAACGGTTCCTGGGATATTACAAGCCAGTACATGCAGTTGTTATCGACGCGGGCAGCACAGGGTCCCGGGTGCTCGCCTACACGTTTCACAAGTCGTATTTCGGGGACAATTTAGTGCTGGATAAGGAACTGTTCGAGTACAACAAGCCAGGACTGTCTTCCTTTGCCAACGATCCGGAAAAGGTAATCTCGAAACTGACACAAAACTAGGCGATGCCAAAGCTCAACCTGCATTGTTTTTAGGGAGCGGCCAAAATAAAAGACCTATTAGAATTAGCCAAAAAGGAAATACCCGAGGAATACTGGGCGAAGACACCGCTGGTCTTCAAAGCCACCGCAGGCCTGCGAATTCTGCCCCAAGAACAAGCAGACAATTTGCTGAACGCGGTTAGAGAGCTGTTTAAGCAAATGCCCTTCGTAACCGATAAAGATGCAGTGGAAATCATGGAAGGGGCGCATGAAGGGATTTTTTCTTGGTTCACTGTGAACTTTTTACTCAGTAAGTTCAAACACACATCTAAATAGCATGCAGCCGTGCATGTTTGAAACGTAAAATTCTAGATCGACTGAACTCGAATCCGGCGAATACGGTGGCCGCTTTGGACTTGGGCGGCGGCTCAACCCAGGTGACTTTTGCGGCAGTCACCCCGGCGAGTCTCCAGGAGAAGGAAAACATCCATGAGGCGATATCGCCCACTGGATCCATTCCAGTCTTTACTCACAGCTATCTGGGCTTGGGACTGAAAGCTGCGCGAAAAGCCGTAATTTCTTACGGGAATGGGGATGATTTAAATGTGACCTGCGATTGTGTCAACACCGTCATCAAGAACAAGCTATTTCAGTATCACGGTAAGGAGCTTTGGTGGAGAAGACTCCAAAATTAAGCGCGCATACCATATCCAGGGAATGACTACTATGTGAGCGGTCCTCAAAAGGACTACCCAATTTCCATGAAAATCATAGACGATTTAAGTGAAGCAATGGAGATTCCGGTGGTGGATTTCGTAAAGTGCTCGAAAATGATCGAGCAATATATACAGGGGTTATCCAGCCAGCGAAAGCCCCCGGAGGAACTGCCTTTGAAGGCGATTTTTGCTTTCAGCTACTACTATGACAAGGCCAGTCAAGCTGGGCTGATTGATTTTTACAAAGGGGGACAAGTGAAAGTATGTGCAAAAATCCATGAAATGTTTCTGTGCTAATTGAATATTTCTGTGTCCAGGTCGAAGACTTTAAGGTGCATGCACAAAACAAATGTCACGAAGCCAACACAGACGAGCCCTTCATATGCATGGACTTAACGTTCATTTGGCTGCTCCTGGAAAAGGGATTCGGTCTTAGCTTGGACACGAAAGTCTATGTAAGCACCGACTGGTTCGAAGTAATTCGTTGTTTAATATGAATCTTTGCTTCAGCTCTACAAAAAGATATCGGGCCACGAAATCACGTGGGCTTTGGGGGCAGCGTATGACGTTTTGACGAAAACCAAAGTGATTTAGTTCTATAAAACTCACGAAGCACCAAAGAACACAAACAGTACTCAACCATTCCACATAATTATTTTGCATTTATATACAGATAGTTGTTTGATTATTATTTAGGCTGTGCCTTCAATTATTCCATTTTCTCGTTTTTAATTACGCAAACCTTTCCTTTGTACAAATTAAAGCAATAATGTACGGTTTGAAATTAAGTAGAATCTTTCTTTTGCTGACCTTAATCTTCAGTGAAGCTAATCTTGGCGCAGGGACCCAACTTCTGCATTAAGCCATTGTACATGATTTCATTGATGAGGTTCTCCGCATAGCACCTCTGCTCGTCGCTCATGTCTCTTAATTTCACTGCGACGGTTTTACCGATTGTGTCAAACAGATCATCAAGCCCTTCAGTTTTCTTATCCACCCCAGTTTCGGCCTCATTTGATAAAGTTTCCTTTAAAGCAGGTACCACATGCAGTGTTCAACAATTTTAACCCATTTTTAAGTTACGAGTAATTACCACAATATCTCCTTCACCATCTGAAGCTTGTTGATCTTCCTTGGGGTCGTCCTCCCTCCCATTTTGTTCGGATTCCTCCAGGAAGCTTAGCAGGTCATAGCACCATAATTTAGAGCTTTTTTTGGACGTCTTGGATTGCTGTTCTCGCAACTCACGCCTAAATTGTAGCTTTAACGTGTTGGTTTTGATCTTCACCTCGTGCATGTTGAAATGCCGCCCTACCTCGGCATTTAGATCCCTGGTAATGCTTTTATAGGCAGCCAGTCGTTTGGACTTCAAACCCATGGATTCCGGGGCCCGAGAGTACAACAGGGGGTGCTTTCTGAGCAGCTCAATCAAAAGCACCGTGTGGTGCTTGGACCAAAAGGACACCTGAATCTGAAACGTTGCCTGCTGAGGACCAGTTCAATTGCTGGTGAGTTTTTGGCCTACTGGGTCGTTTCTGTCGGGCTCCAGTTTCACCTCGTCTTCGCCTGCAATATACAGCAACAAATTGTAGTACCAAAGCGTTGGAGCATATACGTCCTCTTGATTCTGACACTTCTTCTTAGACTCCTGCACCTTTAGAGAACATTAGATCACTTCACGAGATCAATTTATATGAGAAAAACTCACCTTTTTGTATTCTCGCCAAAATGTACTTCGCAAATTGCAGATTTTGGACCTGACGAAGTCCAAATCCGCCTCGGGAAAGTACTGCATGGACTTGTTAATCAAGGACTCCAAGGCTGCGTCTCGATGAGATCTGCTCTTATAGTTGGGATGGGTTTTGTCCCAGAGAACTCGGTTCTCTCGGTATATCTGAATAAAATCCCGTAGAAACRTTTCATTTACCTTTGCTACATGCAACATTTCAACGCTATCGCCCATTGTTTATAAATTAGATAAAAATAAACAACAAATCTRCAGGTAGACAGGTTCGTAGATCACGAGAGGCTCAGGGCATAGAGTAAGTAAAATCAGAGTAAAATAACTTATTTTACTTTCTCTATGGCTCAGACGCTCAGACTAAATGCACAGATCACAGAGGTTATAGATTGGAAAYTGCCATATACGMCTGCAGAATGTTATTTGTCGCTTAAATCACCGGCTGCAATCAAARCTAAACTCTAATTTCCACTACCGGGAGAAGAAATCTTCTTTATCGATTGGGTTCACATCAAAATTTAGCGGGGTATTTGATTTCAGTTTATGACCTCTGTGATTACCGTTGAAGTTTCAATAACATTTCAAGCATTTCATCATGCTCCTTAATTGTGATGTTTATGCTAGGGCTTCAATTAACATCACAATTAAWGGGCAATATGAGATACTCGAAATATTATTGAAACTTCAACGGAAATCACAGAGTTCGTAAAGTGAATTCAAATCMCCTGCTAAAATTGTGTTCGTATGAAAACTAGGGCAAATCGGGAGGTAATGCTTTACGGRACGATCTGCTGTGGCACGCGCACATGCCTGCACGCAGGGTACGCGCAGCCAAACATTGCATACTGGTCAGTCATGTTGCCGAACTGCCACCAAAGTAGAAAATTTCAATGAAAACAAAAAAGTAATTCATGCAAGGTTGAAAACTTAGCAGAATTACGTCCATACAGGTAATAGGTAGTAGACGAAACTGATAAGCTCATACATAAGATTGTGCGCGTAATTTAGCCGGGACCCAGCTGATTGCAGCCAGTCGTTTGAAATATTAAATTAATTGTGCATGCATGCAAAGAAAATAAAATAAAGTACTTTCAGCTTTGGTTTCTCTATGGATTTCTATAAACGCGTGTGAGTTCTTAATCAGTTAATTGGAATTATCATGAGAATCGGAAAAGTAGTTAAAACTCTGGGTATTACTAATTACTATTTATTTTATATTAAAAAAAACTTTAAAATTCTCAAATTCTTCAATCTTCAAATTGATTCTGTTTGAAT